CTTATTCATCACATGAACAAATATAGAAGAGAGTCAATCACATTGCGTGGACTCTAATAAGAAAAACAGTCTATTCTACATCTATATCAAAATAATCAAAGGTATAGGTGCATCCCACCATTGATGCCAAGGTTAAACAAGCACCAGAATAATGCTATCATATTAAATGAATGAAATATAAGTGCATGATCATTTGGACTGCCTGCGCACCTGATGCCAATGCTGCGAACTAAACCCTTGGAAACCAGATCTTCCATAGCATGCCATGTAGTCTCCAATGAGATACTGGTGTCAATTTCCAGTACTCCATCCTCATCCAAAGCACTGTCAGTTGTACCAACTCCTACATGCATGCATAGTCAACAAAAGCTCAGCTCAGAGAATCAGACAAAAGTATCAGCTTCCTAATTGCTTTTAGATGGCAGAAGACTACCATCATCTAATAGTTTTTATCAAATCAAGTTCATCCTATTTTCCTGACAAACATTTATTCAGCAATTCAGTTTTGAACTACTCTAAATAATTGGTGCGGATAGTGTTCTAGTAAAGAATTAATTTCTGCTTTTGTCAGCCAACATTTCTGCATGATCCTCATCCCCTCAATAAAAATGTATAATAGTCAATAGAATGGTATGAATTACTGTATGTTGGGAATATAGATAAATGGTTGAAAAGGCAGGCAGGAATCACCAGTGTGCTTTGTGGCTACAGGAAAGTGAACGAGATACAGATCCAGATAGTCCAGCTGAAGCTTCTTAAGGCTGTCTTTACATGCCTCAAGAACATGTCCATGATCAGAATTCCAAAGCTGCAAGGACAAAGGAAAAATGGAAAGCAATATCTGTCAACTTGTCTACGCAAACATCAGGTAAACACTTGATACAAAAGGGTCAAATACAAACAGAAGCAGCTAAATTTGAAGCAAAACTAGCCTTAGTGGTAATGAAGAGATCCTCTCTCTTCACAAGCCCAGTCCGGAATGCATCTGTTAGTGCCGCTCCAACTTCAGCTTCATTCCTGTAGTCGGCTGCAAGACATATTACATGCCTTATAAACAACATCAAGAGAACAAGTATTCCACTACCGACTCAAAACAAAATTATCAAAGATTTCCAGTGAGAAAGGAGGGTGCTTTTAGAATGAAATTTCCATATTTCTAAGATTCTTCATCAATTTCTCCACAATACAGCTATTTTTCTCAATAGTGAGAAAGAATCTAACAGTCCCATTTCTGAAAATACAATTCCCATTTCTTTCAAGTTGAAAACCTAATCGACAACAAGAAAAA